TATATATTTTTATATTTATATAAAAAGACCAATAATAGCAGTATGTTATGCATCAATAACAGCAACAGCTTCTCCAGGTTCTGCAGTCATCTGAACAAAATTACAGACATTCAGCACATTCCATTAAAAAAACAAAAAACAAAAAAAAGAGAAAAGAATAATATCCAGATAACTGCAAATTTCTGTTGCTGTTGTGGTACCTGGCACCATTATTTTTTAATTAGCATCTTAATCATCATCTGGAAAGAGAACATTCTAGAGTAATATCTTTAAAAATAGCTCTGATAAAGCATGGTCACTAGTACATATCATAAAACAGGTACAAGATATTTTACATTCACTGAGGTATGATATAGTACCGTCCTACATCAATAATACTAGAATCAGTTTTGGTCTGCAATTTGCTTTGTCTGCAAATAAGATTGCTATTTCTGGGCTCCTGTCACATGGAGAATTGTTTTCCATTCTTTCACTTTCAGTCTATGGGCTTCTTTTTGCACTAGGTGTGTTTCTTGTATACAACATATCATTGGATTTTGCTTCTTATTCCATTTTGCCAATTTCTCTTGATTGGTGAGTTGAGGCCATTGACACTGATGGTTATAACTGATATGTACTGACTTATTATTGACATGTTATTGGCCTTTTGTTGACTTTTTTTACTTTTTCACCTTCTCCTTTTAGTTTCTTGCCTTGCCTATTTGATTTGCTCTGTTGGGCCTCATGGTGTTGTTGCCTTCATTGTCTTTTTCTAGGATCTTGTTTAGAATTGCTTGTAGTGCTGGTCTGGTATTCATGTAGTTTCTCAGGTGTTCTTTGTCATGGAAGTATCTTATTTCCCCATCCATTTTGAAAGAGAGTTTTGCAGGATACATCAGTCTAGGTTGGAGGCTGTTCTCTTTTAGTACTTGAAATATCTCACTCCAGGCTCTCCTTGCCCTAAGGGTTTGTGTTGAAAAGTCTGCTGTGATTCTGATGGGCTTTCCTTTGCATGTGATTTGTTTCTTTTCTCTTACTGCTTGTAGTATTTTGTTCTTCTGTTGCGTTTCTGGGATCTTGATTATTATATGTCTAGGTGTAGATTTTTTTTTGATTGTGGCTAGTTGGTGTCCTATATGCCTCAGTTATCTGAATGTCAAATTCTTCCCCTTTGTTTGAGAAGTTTTCTGTCATTAATTCTGTGAACAGCTTTTTAAAGTCATTTGTGTTTTCTCCTGCTAGTTCATGGATTCCTATCAGTCTTATGTTATTCTTCTTTGCATCATCTAGGAGTTGTTGGATTGATTTCTCATGATCCCGTACGGTTTTTAAGAGACCTCTCCTTTCATGGGGGTCACTGACTGCAATCTTATCTTCTATATTTGAGAGTCTATCTTCGCATTCTTTTATTCTGTTGCATACACTTTCAATGGAGTGTTTAATCTCCTGGATATCTGTTTGAATCTGTTTTATGGATTCCATTTCTTTCCTATGTTGGGTGTTTATTTTTTCCATTTCTTTTGTGTGTGTGTGTGTGTGTGTGGCACTGGGGATCGAACTCAGGTCCTTGATGAGGCAGGCCACTGAACAGATGAGCTAAATTCCTGGCCTCTTTTCCATTTCTTTCTTATGCTGGGCCTTCATGGCTTCTATCGTGGTCCTGAGCTCATCTATTTTTTTTGTCAGTTCTGCTCTAGAGTCTCAAATCACGACTTACATTTTGCTCACCATCTCTACGGTTATTTGGGAAATTATTTCTGTTTTGAATTTTTCTAGAGCCTGATTGATCTGTTTTGTTACTTCCTGTTCTTTGAGTTCAGGGTGTTCTGCTGATTCACTATTGGCCTTTTCATCCTCATTTGCCTTACTGTTTACCATTGGTGAACTGGAAGTCTGTCTTTGTGTCTTGCTTAAATGTTTTCTCATTTTTGCTTTTGTTGTCGGGCTGTCCTTGGTTTAATCTCTGGGTTATCACCCAAATCTTCCTGATATAGTTGTGCCCTAGCTTCTGGGTCTCTAACGACCCACAGACATTCTCATCTTCATAACATCCGAGAAAAGAGCTCATCGAATCAACCACAATCCTTTATCCCAACTGATACAATCAGCAACACATTATGATCAAGCACAACTTGGAAACTGACCACCTGTGGTAGTCACTAGTCTATCACCCTTAAACCATTTGAAATAAATTGAAATCAAGAAGCAGTCCAGAACATGTCTGCAGTGAACAAACTTTTCAATATAGTATATTTACCATTTAAAGGCTCAGACACAGTTAGGACTCAAGACCCCTGATCTCAGTTAGCTAATGGCTGAACCCCATGACACAGACTGACCTCGGGCTGCAAGGCCCAGATTGAATTCCCCAATCTTCTGAATGGTTGAACTCCACACCGTTCTACTACAGGTTTCCCACGCCCTTTCTTTAAAGATGTTCATAGTTGGGAACTCAGAAAAATACCCTTTATGACCACCTCTGCCTCTGAAGAGTGGGTCAAAAGACTGGCACAGTCAGGAGGTCTGAGTGTGCGTGGGGGAGGGGGGCGGGGAGTGAGGGGAGTTATGGGGGTTCAGGAGCACCCGCATGCCTACCTTCCTGGCCCTGGAGCGATGGCGGCTCCAGGAGGGAGAAGGCGTGGCTCTCCTTCCCGCTGTGGATCAGGGCCCAGGGTACCTTCCTGGTGCTTTAGCAATGTCCTGAAATTTTTATTCTTAAAAACACACCTAGGGGCTGGAATGCAGTTGAGCAGTAGAACACTTGCCTAGCATACACCAGGACCTGGGTCTTGAAGGGTAAGAAACATAAACAAGCAAATAAAAATCCTACACATCTACTTAGGGAAAAGTTAACAAACATATAAATGTATGTAATTATGACTTAGAGCTGTATCACAAATGGTCATAACTTTCCTAGTCAGGAAAAATGTACAACTTTAAAAATATAAGTAGGATTGCCTGGTGTGGTGGTCCACGCCTGTAATCCCAGCACTTGGGAGACCGAGGGAGGAGAATCGCTGTGAGTTCGAGACCAGTCTGGGCTACATAGTGAGTTTCAGGTCAGTCTCAACTACATAGTGAGACCCTGTCTCAAAAAAAAATTCAGTCTAGGGTGGAAGGGGTGAAGGGAGGGCAGGGACAAGGGGAAAAAATGAGAACCAAGACCTGTCATGTAAAGGTACAAGGTCCCAATGATGAATGTAACTGTACTGTATACTTAAAAAGTACCAATAAACTCAATAAAAAAGAAAAAAAATTCAGCCTAGTTTGACCTAATTTGGCCCAAGGGACTTGAAATTGGTTAAGAAAATTTCCCCCATCCTCCCACCCCCGTTTCTTTCTCTCTCTCCAGGCACTCTGCCACTTTGCTACATCCTCCTTTTCAGGTCGTTTTGACAGACAGGTAAGCAGATAAGATTTTCAACACAGTACAGTGAAATATGGGCTGTGGACTCTATCACTTGTTTATGGGAGGTCAATGAACCCATTAAGATTTTTATTTATCATTATCAACCAAGGCTTTTAGTAATGTATATCTTGTATGAACTCAGTGTACTAACATCTCACAATTTTTAGCATGTGGTGGCCTTTTTATAACATTACCCTGTGTTCATCAAAGAAATATTTAGGGGCTGATGGTGTAGCCCAGGGGTAGAGCTTGTGCTTCTGCTTAATATATGCAAAACCATAGGTTTGATCCCTAGCACTAAAATGAAATAAGATAAATTTAGACCTACTCTGTCTCAGACACTATATTATACTGTAGAGGTTAATTCATACAGAAGGAAATAAATGGTTTTGATACATGTTTTTTTTCTTTAGACCAAGTCTCGTTATGTTGGCCAGGCTGGTCTTGGACTCTTGAGCTCAAGCCATCATCCTGCATAGCTGGGACTATAGATACTTGTCACCTGAGCTGCCTGATGTACCCCATGATCTTAGATAAAGAGAATATTTTCATTTTATTGGTGCAAAATTAATCTAAGTGATCTAGAGTTGCCACCAAATATTTCAAGGTCATCAACAATGGCAAACATGTACTGAGTAGGTACTAGGTACCACTGTATTAAGTGATTTACCTTTTCATTTTTTAGGTTTTTTGAGGCAGCATGTCATCATATAGTCAAGGCTGTCATCAAATTTTTAATCCTCCTGCCTCAGCCTCCCAGTGTAATAGAATTACATGCGCCACTATGCCCAGCAATTTACGTTTTATTTAATCTGCATAGTAATATACTGAAGTAGTTAGTGATATTATTTTCATCTTGTAATGAGAAGACTGAATGCCCGTGGTCTTTCAACTAGCTTAACTTTACATACCTGCTAAGCAGACCCTGAATTCTGATTCAGGAGCCGGATAAGCAGTCCAGTTGGCTGATTTGTGCCATGGTGTACATCTAGTTAAAAGATGATTCTAGTCAGCAGTTCACAGTTTCATCCAGGGCACACTTAAAAATTGGTTAAGAGGATAGATTTCATGTTATTTTTTTTTTTATCAAAATAGGAATGAAGGAAGAAAAAAAGAAATGTATGCAACCATCAATATTATGCTTATCATGAATCTTAATGACATACAGAAATGCATGAAATATTTAAAAATTTGTATATAAACCCCAAATACAATGTGGTATAACCTATGTAAGATATGTGTGTAAAATTATTTACTGAATATATATGTGAATACATATATATTTTATGATTACATGTTACATGTGGCAGATTGATTTTTTTTAAAAATAGGACTTGTGCAAACAATATTTTTAGTCATTAGTTATCAGACATTGTCAGGTTCTTTTTTTCTCATCTTTTTTTTGGGGGGGTTACTGGGGATCAAACTCTGGTCCTTGCTCTTGCAAGGCAGGTGGCGGAATTGCTGAGCTAAATCCCCGGCTCTCTTATCTTTTTATATCTATACTTTTATATATCTAAATACATTTTAGGCAGTGATGTTAGATTTATGTTGTGGTACTGAATAAGAGATAAAAATGTGAATTGTTAATTAAAATCATTTGCTTTTGATCAGCTGGGGGAAAAGCAAGACCAAGAGAGAAAAATAAAAATAAATAAATTGCTAAAGAAGGAGAAAACCTTTAATAGCTAAATTAGAAAATGAAAAAACAAAAACTGAAAACTTAATTTCTCTCAAATCCAAGATTATTTTATTTTAACATTTTATTGTCCTTTATTGCATTTGAGTTTTTTTTTAAATCCTATGGTAATTACTGAATAATCAGGGGGGAAAACAGGTAAGAGAAAGTTTCAGGCTGTGCTCCTCTAGGCTGTAACACCCAACTAGCCACTTCCTCAGACAAAAACCTTTGTGAAAACTTTAAAACTTAAGGATGAGACTGAGATGCCAAAAATAAATTAATAAATTAATTAATAAATTAATTAAAAATTATAGTGAAGGTAGAGGAAACAGGCTTACTTTGACCATATTGACCGCTTCCCTCCCCAAGTCAGAGCAATGCCACAGAGAGAGGATTACCCTTGGACCTGCAGATCTTCCATGGGAAATGACAATAATTAGGCAAATTTAGCTTCCCTAGCATTCCAGGAAACCCACTCCAGTCTTGTGCCTTTGAGATCCGTGCAAGCAAGGCAGGACTAGACCACCTGGAGTCAGGTAGAAACAAGAACAGAAGGGGAAGCTCACAGGCCTCAGCATGCTTATCTTGGTGGTAACTCCATGTTTCTGCCCACCCTAGAAGTGTCTGATCAGTTAGATCAGCCAACAGCACAGCCCACTCATAAAACCCAGCTAGTTTCTCTCAGCAGCATAGAGGGAAGTTTACTGTAGCTTGGGTCCCTAACCATTGAGCAACTCTGCCTGACCCAAGAGCCTACTCCAAAGCCCTCTGCGGGGAGACAAGCCTGGACTATGCACTTCTATAGAGGATAGCCTCTGGTCCCATCCATTCTGACTAATCTTGGAGCTCAGCCTGAAGCCCTGCCCAACTGGAGAATCCAAAGAGTGGTACCACCCACAGAGGCACCTGGCCTGATTAGAGGCCATTGCACTGCCCAGGCAGTGGTGGCACCAGTCAGTTGAGTCCAGTCAGCCACTCCACCCAAGAATGGAGCCCAACAGAACCTTCCTAAGGTTGCTCCCTACCGAGACTAAATAAAAAAGGTTTAGCCTTTTGTTGTTGAATGAGATCAAAGTTAACTTATTATCAGCTTGAAGTATCTTATTATAACTGTAAGTTATTTTATGTAAGTTTGCTGGTAACCACAGAGCAAAAATCTGTGGATGCCCAAAACATAAATAGAAATGATTTAGAGTGTACCACCATAGAAAGCCTCAAACCACAAAGGAAGACAGTAAGAGAGAAAGACAAAAACAAATAACCAGAAAACAAATTACAATTTTTTTTCCTGCAGTTCCTGTGTTGGAAATTAGCTCCCAATGCCTCAGTGTTAGGTGGTAAAAGCTAACAGAAAGCATTTATACTGTAGTGGGGTCCTTACAAAAGATGAGTTTGCTATTCTCTTACCCATGTGTTGCCTCTCACAAAGATGTATCAAGAAAACCCTCACCAAACGCCAGCAGCTTGATCTTGGACTTCCCAACCTCTGAAACCCTACGTCAGTACGTTTTTGCTCATTATATACTAGCTGGTCTGTGATATTTTGTTATAATAGCACAAAACAGATGAACGCCAATGTAATGAATTAAATCCTTTAATGGCAGAAAGGCTAAATGGGAAAACAAAACACAACATAAAACCGAAAGACTCAACTATATGTAGCCCAAAAGAGATTTGCTTCATTTTTTCTGGACACAAATAGCTGACAGCGAATGGATGAAAAAGACATTTCAGGGGGTTGGGGATTTCAGCTCAGTGGTTCTGCTGCCTGCATCACAAGCACAAGGTCCCAAGTTTGATCCCTGGTACCCAAAAAGAAAAAAAGAAAGAAAAGACATTTCACACAAATGAAAACCAAAGCAGAGCAAGGGCAGGTATATTTGTATCAGATTTAAAGTTCAAAACTGTAGAGAGACAAAGCAACCCAATATACAGCAATAAATAATTAAGAGAAAATACAATTATAAATCTATATGCAGCTAACATTGGAGCACTTAAATATATAAATCAAATGTTAAAATATCGTAAGGGAAAGACAGATTGGCATTCAAAAATGGTAGCAGCCTGTAGTACCCTAATCTCAACAACAGACAGATCATCCATAAAGAAAATTAAGAAAATATGGACTTGATCAACACTAGCAGACATATACATCTAATACCAATCCATCCAACACCAACAGAATCATTTTCTTCTCCAGGATAGATCATATGCTCTGTTAAGAAAAAAAAAAAAAACAAAAAACAGCAAATTTAAGAGGATTAAAATCATGTTAGGTAACTTCTTGAATCACAATGGTATAAAACTAGGGAAAAAAATGTGGAAATTAAGTAACATGGTCCTGAGCAGCCAATGGGTCAAAGAAACCAAAACAGAAATGAAAATGGAAACAATGTGGGTCAGGGATTTAGCTCAATGGCACCCCGCCTATGTGTGTGGGGGGAATGTGTGAAAGCTGAGTAAGGTGAGATAAGCTTGGAATCCATGCATTCTAGGGTGCTGCTGAGGCAGGAGGATAGCAAGTTTGAGCCTGTTCTGATCAACTTCGCAGTTTTGTGAGATCCTGTCTCAAAAACAAACAAACAAACAAAAATTAAAAAAGACTGGGGATGTGGCTCAATGCAAAGACCCTGCATTTAACTCTCAGTACAAAACAAAACAAAACCTTAGGAAATGCAGCAAAAGGAAATCTAAGAGGCAAATCTATGGCAATAAACGTCTACACCAAATACAAGATCTCAAATAAATAGCCTAATATTACACCTTTCAAGAACTTGAAAAAGGACAGAGCTCAAAATGAACGAAAGGAAAAAAATAACAAAGACAGCTCAAAATGAACAAAAGGAAGGAAATAATAGTGATCAGCACAAAATGAGCAAAAGGAAATAACAAAGGTCAGAAAGAACAGAAATAAATGAAAGAGAATAAAAAAATATACAAAAGCTCAGCAAAAGAAGGATCTGGTTCTTTGAAAAGATGAACAAAACTGACAAATCCTTAGCTATATTAAGAAAAAAAAGATAAATAAAATCAGAAATAAAAGAGGAGATACTACACCCGATACCAAAGAATCAGAAGAAATTACTCTGAATAGTTATAGCCCAGCACGTTGGTTGTTGTAGTCAGGGGTTTACAAGGGAAATAGATTGAATACAGGACACATAATTTATAGGATGAGTTTATAACAGCTATCCAAAAAAATCAAATGCAGAGAAGTGCAAGATATCTAGCTGTACACTAGAAAAGAATCCAGCCAAGGGTTTGGATCCCATAGCAATGTTCTGCACAAGTCCAGATAAAGGCCTAGAGTCCAAGGCAGCGTTCTGTGTGAGTCCAGACAGTGGCTTGGAGCCCAGAGCAATTTGCTTGTCCATATCCAGGATCTGCACCACGAAGGCCAAAACATCAGTAGTGGAAGCCAGAAAACGTGCACCAGTGGGGTGGGGGATTTGTGCCACCAGGCTGAGGGATCTACACTGGAACAAGGAAGTGACGCTCATGGTGAAGGTCAGAGCTCCCCTGGTGAGAACGGCAGCCATTGCCAGCAACAGCAAGGCCCTGAACTCCTCCGACCAGAATAGCCAAGTTCACATCAGAAAAACCATCCGCATAAAGTTTCTCCTAGGGAATCAATAGTCCATTGTGATCATCTCCTCCAGTTCTCCTTTTATGCCACTGGCAACAATTCTCAGGCGATCTTCCACAACCCACCATGCTGATTCAGTTCAGCTAGGCGTTCCAAGTTGTTGACCATTAGTTAATCCTCCACACTAGAGAACCTAGAAGAAATGGATAAATTCCTAGACACATATAATTCACCATGACTATATCTTAAAGAAAGGGAAAATCAGAACAGACCAGTAATTAATAAATTGAATCAATAAACAGTCTCCCATCAAAGAAAGGTCCAGGAGCTGATGGCTTTACAAGGTGATTTCCTCCAAACATTTAAAGAACTAATTACCGACCCTCAAACTTCCTAAAGATTGAAGAGGAAGAAACACCTCAAACTCACTCCTCTTACAAACCCAGCGTCTCCCCAACACCAGACAAGAACACTACAGGAAAGGAAAATTACAGGCCAAAGTCTCTTACTGACAAATACAAAAATCCTCACCAAAATGCTAGCAAACCAAACGCAACTGAACATTGAAAGGATCATTCACCATGATCGAGTGTGACGCAAAGATAAGTCCAAATGTATGAATCAATAAATCTGATACATCACATTAACAGCATAGAAGACAAAAAAAATCATGATTATATCATTACATACAAAAAAAGGCATCTAACAAAATTCCACATTTTTTTCTTGATAGAAACTCAACGAATGGAATGTATCTCAACATAAGAAAGGC